GTTTTTCATAGCGCCGTAAATTGCGTCGCAGTTTTTATTTTTTTATTGCAGAGATTAAGGGATGAAACAGGGGTTGCTGGATGGGGAATTTAATTTTCCATCGAACAGCAGTGGTTTCATTCTTTAATGTTAATTAGGAGGGGAGAGACGATTTTTTAATTAGCGGGCGAATTATTGGGGTGGCGCTCTGCGCCGAGAAACCATTGGGTTTCTCATAGCACCGTGACTTTCGTCGCAGTTTTAATTTTTTTATTACAAAGATTAAGGGATGAAACGGGGGTTGATAGATGGGGAATCGAATTCTCCATCGAAAAGTCCTTGTCTCATCCCTTAATATTAATTAGCGGGCGAATGAATCAACGGAAAAACATAAAGTAAACATTGAGGACAAGGAGGACATAAACCCCCCTTTGAACCTATCCCTGTGACAGCGGGACTGCTATAGGGCTTCTAGCAGAAGTTTTCCCTACCCAGGGTACCCCCACTCTACGTAATTCCCACTCATATACTTGTCCCCCACTCCAAAAATCCATGGATATTCTTCTTCTGGCCCTACTGCCGAGTTACCGGCACAGGCAGCTCGCCCAGCCCTCTGAATCGTCCGTGGCGCCCCGCCTCTGTTGGGGTCTCACTTATTCTGGCTGCGACTGCTGTCGAGACTTGACCGACGCCGTTGGGATTGTGGAGATTTGAAGGACTCACACAAATAGTTTGACTCTTGGGTAATCTATAATAAACTATATTTATTCAGCCAAAAGTTATTAAACATTTAAATGAATACAAATGAGGGATTGCCACAGCTGTGGTGTTAAACTTATGGAATCGTGAGAATAATAATAATGATGAATGGCGGATCGGGTTTTCCCGGTCGGTTTCGTTATTCCGTCTTCGGGATAAGTATTTGTTTGCGCCGTTGGCGCTGATGGCGAGCTCCGTCGGTAACAGTGGAATCTGATTGAGGCTGAGCCGCCACAGGATGTTGACACTTCCGCCATCTCCCGGCATACCCCCTACGGGACTTCTATTATCATTATATACACTCAAATTAATTTTCATCAATTGATAGAAAACAATGTTATAAACAGTGCAAATATAAACTAATGATTCGTCTATCCACTTTTATTGTGTTGTCAGATATCATTTCCCCTTTTTTAGCCCCAGAAAATGACAATACTAATAGCCACGCAATAGCCATGCAAATACCGTGGCTCCTGGATCGCCAGGGAAGTGAAACATGAAAATTCAATTTTCGTCTGAAACTCTCATAAGTTGATGAAAAATTGACAAAAAATTGGACAAATCAGATGTCATTTTGAAGCTTATTCAATGAGCTTTCTACTGAGTATACTATATATATATGGTTCATGCAAGAGGAAGAAGAAATTAAGTGTAGAAACTAAGGACTGAAGCCTGGTAACGCTCACGGACATTTCTATATTGGATATTGAACAGAAAAATAGAAATTGATCGGGAAGTTATTGGTTCGATAGGTCATACCTACTCCAGCCCAATGGGCTGGGAGCGAGCGACCAACAACCCAGTACAATTTTTTCAATGCCGTCTGTCTGAGTTCCCCCTGAAGCTTGTTCTCATTCGAGATATTCGAGTTGGACGACTTTTTCCAATTCGAGTTTTGTCCCTCTCTTTTTGAAAGGAGGTTTTTCAGGAGTGTTTTTGTTCTGGATAAGGATAACTATGGTTTACCAGAATAAATAATGTATAAAAGAATGAAATAAAAAATTAATTCAAAAATGAATTAATTCAATTGCCGGAAAATCCGAAGTTGATAGAAAATAATTGGAATTTTTTTTATTTGATGCTCTAATATACAGGTTTTTTATTCACATCTATTTATGCAATAATCTGTCGTATTCGTTGCAGTTTCTATTATCTATATTTTTCGATGGTATTTTCTGCTTTTTTTTTATGAAGGATGAAGATTAAATTCTACCCAAACCTCTATTTGTGTTTTAGATAGAAATCACTCATGATTTCAGCCATTGTACTTCGCTTGATTGAAATCGCGGTACGAGGAATGATCAGATAAATATCACACATGATTTAAATATTCATAGAGAATTTCTCCATCGAAAAATATCCGATAGTTTCGAACTACTTTTTTGACGATTTCTAATCACTGTCCATTTCTTCTGGGGCTGAAGATTCTTCCTCCTCCGGAATTTCCTTATCCCAATCCTTCAGATTTGCTCCCATTATAAAGTCATCTCGAAGAACACTCCAAAATTTATTCGACTAAACACAAACATTATGTTTTCAGTTCGATACTGGATAATTAGAGGTTGTTTAGATACTGGATAAATCGGTAACTACTTGGTGAATTATTAAGCAAATATCATCGGAAAGAAGAGGCTTAGCGGAAATTATTTAGACATCTGGATTGTCCATTAGTTCGATATTCTTCTCTAAACCAACTTCTTTTCGTGATATTCGTAAAATAATGCGCATTAATGTTTTGAACGCATATCTAGGGTTTAATTCCAATCAAATTACCTTCTCTGAGCCATCCTCTTCTCTTTCAGAACCAATTCGTTGATCCACAGTGATGCTCTTCGTTCCACCCATAAGAACATCCAAAAATGCTCGTTTATCGATACTCTTCAATACTTTTTCTCTCTTTCCTTCTAGTGGACCAGCTTCTACCAATTTCTTCTCTATTTCCTGTTGTTGATCCCTCACTGTATTGAATAATTGAACTACACCTCTGAAAAATATAAGAATACTAATGTTAGGTTATGAATGAGTTTTTCTTTATATGCGAAAAGTATTTCGAGATTTTTCTTTTGGTGGCTGATGATTATAAGAGGTTTATCATCAAGTTTATCATCACAAGTTGCTTATGAACTGAAGCAATCTCAACAAAAGAAATGTAGTGATATTTGGTTTCAAAATAACCGCTCCCCAAGGTTAACTTAAATTTCACGTTTGACTCAAATTTTCAGATTATTTTCTGTAAATATCTCGGTATTGGGAATTTTGGTTCTAAAATTATTTGATGAGATGAATGCGGGAGGAACTATTGTACCGATCCACTGAGGTGCAATTGACGGAAAATTTATCAATAACGAATTACTTTGTTGCTATTCTTTGTAGAAGTTTTTCTCTAGGTCTATTCAAAGGAGAACGTTTGACTCGAATTGAATGTTTCATTTTTTCTGTCTTTTTCAGTATCCTTAGTTTATCTCTGTTGAGGTCCTTTGTAGTTTTTTTCTCCACGAATTCGACCTTGATATCCCCCTCTTTACTTTCAATTTGGAAAGGAATTTTCTCATTTTTCGATTGGACTTCAGATATTTTCTTAGCCCTTGATAGTACAAGAGTCTTTTTCTTCTTGGGCTTATTTGTTTTTAATATCTTCTGCATGGCGTTTGCCCAGCCTGGGTTCCTTATGAACTTCGATTCTTCCTGTTCTGTTCCAGAATCAGCTAATTTTGCATCTTCCAGTAAGTAATCTAGATCTGAATGATCTTCAGGTAAATCACCAAAGTCACTGTGGGTCTCCGAGGCTTCTCCGTCACTTTTTTCAAATTTTTCATCTGAAAATCAATATTCCTATTTATAATTCATCGAATTTATTGGGTGGACCCAGCAAAAAGGTTACAAAAACGAGATCAGTTAAGTCAATTTGAAACTACACAGATCTTCAAAACTATCGGAGATATACACGATTTTGTAAAGACAAAATTATATGTAGATCACATTAAGCACCCCTAAGAGCACCTATAAGAATACACCTCCCTGCTTCCAACTCCAAAAAATCCAGCACACATCAATTTGAAATTTGAAATTCACTCGATTTGAAATTCACTCATCTCGTATTACCACGTTATTACTCATATGGGCTATTGGTAAATTATTGGACATTTGTGTGGATGAAATGAAAAAAACGTGGTATGCTTTGTTTAAAATATTGTAATCGTTTGAAATTCATTGATTGATTTTTTGTAAATACTCGTACAATCGAACTGGTAGAATTCTAGAGGAATTAAAAAGTACTTGATTTGAGAAGCGTATTTTAGGAATTAAAAATTCCATAAAAAATGTAAATAGTTCGAATAATTCAAAATTCTACAGACGAATATCATTAGTTACATTTCTGAGAGCGGTTGAATTTCGGAGGAAATTCCCTCGCAGAAACGTTCTCTTGAAGCTCATGAAAAACTAAAAAAGAGTTATGGGTCGACGGTATTCACGCCATTACTTGCGACCACTCTTTTTTGTTAATAATAATATTTAAGGGTACCTTTTCGCCATAGTTCATCATTTCATTATTATAATGATTATTACACTGAACGATTTTAGATTGTTTTTATCCGGGCTAATTTGTAATTAACCTGCAACCAATGATTTTTTTACTTTTTTTTTCTTACCTTTCATCTTCAAGATTTTTTTTTTAGTTTTCATTGTTTTAACTGTTAGACTCATTTTCTCGACGAAATTATACAATTAATTCCTCACTTATTTATCAATAAAAATTAATACAATCGATTTGTTCAAACAGTTCAAACCAAGTTTACTATTTTGGTTTATACATACACGGACGGTACGCCCGACACGTGGGATTTCTTCAGAACGAAGTTGCCAACAATTACCGTCAGATGTCACAATTTATAAATTCTGTTGTTGTAGACAACACGGTCGTAAATACAGGTGTCTGGAAAGTCCCCCTACCTTTCGGTGATGGGGATGGTCCCCTTAATGGCGACGTAGTATCAACAGTGACCGCTGGAGGCGCAACGTGACTAGAGGAATTTTTTCTTGAATGATATGATAATAAATTCAATGAAGCAGTAATTAATTAATTAGTTGTATCATACAAGCATAATTCCCTTCCTGTATTTAAGTTTTGCACTTCGAATTATTTTTATAACAATGGTTAGTCAAATAATGTTCTTTTAATGAGGCTTACGACGTTGCGCCTCTGGCAGTCGTCAAGTAAACTTCACAATCTGTCGACATTAAATTAGTTTTCACAGACTGCACGTGTTGTTTTGTGTTGTATTTGATCGAAAAAAAGAGAATTGGGGAAAAAATCTATTCCAATCAAGTAACGAGGCACTAATAACCATAAATTGACTGTTATTAGCCATAAAATATGCAGTACGTCGCTGCTAATAATGAGGTAAGTTTAAGAAATAATTTCATAATTTTTCCCTGGTGGAAAAAACTCCTAAAATCCTATTGGAAGAAAAAAGGGTAATTGGAAATAATGACGTTATTGCCGTTGACCCATTATTTCCGATTTAGGTTAGTAGCGCAATGCTGACACGTATGGAAAAATCCAATAGGAAAACCTCGCGAATTCTCTAGAAAATTCTATTGGGATTCTGGAGAAAATCTATCGGATTTCTATGGGATTTCTATTGGAATTTTATTAGTTTTTTTGCGCTGATTCTATTGCATATTTCATACGGAAAAGTCAATAGATTTTGAATTTCTCTCTCCAGAATCCCAATAAAATTTTCTAGCTAATTCGCTAGGTTTTCCTATTGGATTTTTCCATACGTCATTTTCGGTACGTCAGCATTGCGCTACTAACCTGAATCGGAAATAATGGGTCAACGACAAAAACGTCATTATTTCCAATTACCCTCTTTTCTTCCAAAGGATTTAAGGAGTTTTTTCCACCAGGGTTTGCCATTTTATTTGTTCATTTACTACTGTGCGGAGAAATTTATATATAATTTAATGTAGTCAGTTTTTGCAGACATTTTAGGCTAAACTCAGATTTCTATTACGTTCTTTGTTTTTCGATTCGCTTAACCCCAATATTGGAGTCTCTGAATCGAATACGTATGACTTTTTTTAAATTGTTATTAACGTTTCGTCAGTGAGCTACCGAAAAGTCGATTAAGCAGCGAGGGAATAAAAGAAAATAATTCCAATTATATCAGATAAGATGAATGTACCTGAGCGAATCCACCAATTCTGAATACGAAAAATTGCCTCAACATTTTTTAATTTGTTTTCTAATTTCTATCGGAAAGTATAGTCCAAAAGGAGGAAAATGAGCGCAAATGGAGCTCTCTAACTCAATTATTGGCCAAAATATTGAAGATTAATTTTTTTTCTTATAAAAACTTGCATTTTCAATGCTAATTACGAGCCACTAAGAATAACAAAAAAAAAATGAATCCATAAATTTTGTCGGAAATTTTCTATGCGACTTCCTATTCCTTTCTATATGAACCTTGTATGACCCCTGTATGACCCACATACGAACTCCATATAAACTTCATATAACCCTCATATGACTCTTGTATGACCGCCATATGACCATTTTGACCTTCATTCTGACCCTTATGACCCTAAATTTCATAGGAAATTCTATTGAAAATCCTATAGGAAATTCAATAGGAAATACCTGATAGGAAATCCTATAAAAACCGTTCGAATTTTCCGTAGGATTTTTTCACACGTGGTACTTAAAGCGCATCGATGCGGCTTTACTTTGCAACTAAATTAACGCAATAATTCGTGCAATAAAATGAGGAAAAAGAAAAACCATTGTAATTAAGCCGGTGTACTCCGAAGTTCAATGTAGTCCTATCAACTTTGCTGAGAGTACACATTTTAAATATTTGCCCTGCTTTTGTCATAATAATTGCGTTTTGATGGTTTAAAATGCGGAGAGAAGTTTGCAAGTCCTAATTCGAGGTGTGGAATTACCGTTGATTTTTTTCCGGTAAATTTACCGTAAGAATACCGTAATGTTACAGTATTGTTATATAATAGTCAAATAAAATATAATCTTGATGCAGAATTATCGTAATAATTTTTTGTCGGTAAACTTAACGTAAATTACCGTAACTTACATCTGTTACGTCTGGAGACGTACCGTATTTTTAAAGACAGAATAGAAACTAAATAATGATTAAAACGGAAGAAATAAAAATGGATAAGAAGAATTTAATTTGTAAAAAAATGAATCGTCCGGAAAGGGATTTTGCATTGGAGTCAATTTGAACCGAGTCTCATTTTTAATCGATATTACTCGCGAAAATATGCGAAGAAATTTAATGAAGGAAAAAGAGAATGAAAAAAAAAATAATAATTTTATGTAACGATCACGTGATCGTTAGGTGGCAACAGTTTTGAATTGTCTCCAAGCGCGTCATCACCAGGAGGTTCAGGTATCCGTACCGATGAGGCGTACCTTGATGCATCGACATCGGGTGATGCCCCCTCCATTAAACAAATACATTAAAACTCATATTCATACATGGATAAGTTTTGAAATATACATTAATTTTAAATCGTGAAATGACATTTTGGAAACTTTGACGGTTTCAAAAGTTATTTAAAAATACTAATTGAATATAAAGAGAATTTTGTTTGGGGAGCTAAAAAAAATAAATAATAAAAAAAATGTTTTGATTTTCAATGTAGATTTTGCGGTAATTTAAAAGAAAAAAAAATCATTTGTCGATTTACGTTTAAAATTTGGTTTGTAATTGATTCATTTCAAAGGGATTGATTTTGTGAAAAATTTTAATTTCAATTATTTGAATAAATTTGTTTTATTTGTTATCATCAAATTTCTTCCTCTATCATTCCTATAGTTCGCCCGACTCCAATCACTAGCTATTATCCTCGCGGATAGGCTAAAAATAGGAGAAATTTAACTGTCGTAATTTTTCAGTATTTATTTAATCAAAAATCTTTAAATATTTACTGTGATCATGGCATAACACATCTATACAGATCTTTTTCAATTTACACTCAACACAAAATTTTTTCTTTACTTTAACAGTTACCAATATTTCCGAAATGCGATTCCATGATCTCCAACAACCATATTTTTCGCAAGAAAAAAAAATGATGTCATTGTTAAATTATATTTTCCATTGGAATAGATGTGAAACTATAGGGCACCTATAGAGCAAATGCATACCCTCGAAAAAAATCGAAGGAGAATATCCTAAAAATATCGAAAAAGGATAATCATTTTTCAGTCTGTACGTGCAATTGGTAATTCGGAATGAATTCCTAATCTATTATTGTGAATTTGAAAAAATGATTGCAATTTCACAATACTTGTATATGTTGAAAAATTTCAATACACATGAATTCACACACAAGAATGGTAATTTTACAATCCCAATGTAGTAATTTCCGTATATATTCCAATAAAACTCCAAATATTTGCTGCAATATTCATGCAAAAATGGAGCAAATACCAATTTTTCTACCGAATTTGTAATTTTACTGCACATTGATGTAGCAAAAGTGTAGTAATTTTGCTAACTTTTCTAACGGTGAACGAGAGGAACGATGGTACGAAGCGTACACACTTACTCTCTTCCCCCACCCAGCCCTGAAATTCTCATTTTGAATTCGAAAGGCAAACATTCTTGACCAAAATTACAAGAAACTACTGGTAATTCTTTCGAAATCATTCCATATAGATGCAAATTTACCGTAATCCTATTTTACTAAAGATGAAAGAAACGTGAAGTTGTTTTATATCGAAATATCTCGAAACTGCCTGACCCGCTAATCCTCAATTTTGATTGGTCAATGAGTCATGTGAAGTAGTCGCTGAAAAAAATCCCCGGTATTTTCAAATTCTTCAAATGGAAAGAAGAATAAGAATAGTTGTTTATTGTTTCAAAGATACAAAATCCTTTTTACAATATGTCTCCATGGGGGTCGGAGTCATCCGTGTTTTGGTTTTACCAAAAGACATACGAGTAATCCATATTTGATTCTTCTAATTTTTGCGCGCGCTTTATACAGCTATTTACTACATAATAATATACCGCTTTAACATGAGACTTCTTTTTCGGTGCTAAGACATCATATATATTTAATAGTTGCGTGTGCTTTTGTAAAGTGGATACATTGTTTTGCATACGATTGGCGAGATTAGTTCTTTCCAGTGTTAGTGTCTTACATTTAAGTAGAAAGTGTTCAATTGAGTCCAGTTCGTCATGGTCACAGATTGGGCATTTTTCATTTGGCAAGAATTTGTAGGTATTATTGTTTACATACAGGCTAGTTACATATTTGCTGGCTAGTCTCAGCTGTGCTATGACTTTTTTCATGACTAAAGGAACCTGTTGATAAAGATAATCTTTTCTTTCAATTTCACGAACTACATTCGATTGTAAGTAAAATGCGTTATTAACAAAAGTGTTTCTTTCCTTTATCAATTTCTTTTCGTATGAATCCAGTAGAGCATCGCCTGCCCTCAGCCACTCTCTCCAGTCGAGAGAATCTCTCAATTTTACACTCCATTCTTTATTCAGCGAGTCTATAAAATCAAATATTTGAGACACCCAATTATATTGATTAGAGTGGTTTCCTCTTTTGAATAAGTTAACTTGATTTTTGAAGCAGACTAGGGGCAGGCGATGCTCTGGCATACGTAGAATCTTTACAATCCAGTTCCACGTGATTTTCCAGACTCTGATTGCCATAGGGGTTCTATCAATTTCAGCATAGATTAATGCTTGTGCCGTCGATTTACTGACATTCAAAATAGACTTGTAGAATCTTGCTTCAAGTGCCTCTATTTCCTTAATATATCTGAGGGCCCATACAGGACTGGCA